GAGCAATATTGTTACTATCAAGGCAACTCTCCGCAGGCCCGGAGGGGGCCGCGCGCACGTGGTCGGGGCGCGGGGGGCGCGGCGAGCAGGACGCCCCAGCACAACTCGGCCGGGGTGTCCGGCGACACTTTGGGGGGCGGGGGGCGAGTTGGCTCCACCACCGCCCTTCCTGCGGGCGCGGCGCGGCGGGGCCGGCTCCTGCGCGGGGCGCGGGCCGGGGGCGCGGGGCGCGGGCCGGGGCGCGGGGGGCGGGTGCGTACCTGCCTGGCCTCGGGGGGCGCCTGCTCCTCCGCCTCGGCCTCCGGCGGCCCCGCGGGCTCTCCCGGCCCTGCGGGCGCGGCCGCGGGCTCCGGGGCGCCGGGGCCGGGCGGCGCGGGGGCCCCGCCGGGGGCCGGGGCGCGGGCTCCGGGGACGCGCCGGCGGGGCCGGGGCTCGCGGCCGGCGCGCGCCGCACCAGCAGCCAGGCGAGCAGCAGCGCCAGCGCGGTGGCCAGCGCGGGCAGCGCCGCCAGCAGCTCGGCGGGCGCCTCCATCGCGCCGCGGCCGCCCGAGTGCCGGCCGCCGGGGACCCCGCGGGAGCCCGCCGCGCCCCGCCCCGGCCCGCCCCGGGGCGGAGCCCCCCGCGCGCCCCGCCTCCCCCGCCCCGGGGCGGCTCGCGGCGGGGACCCAGCCCCGACCCCCGGGGGCGCGCGGCGGGGCAGGCGCGCGGGACGCGGGGCGCGCGGCGGCTTCGGAGCCCCCACCAGGCGCCCGGCCCGGCCCGGCGCGGCCCCTCCGGGTCCTCCTGGGGCGTCGGGAAATATTAGCGGATGCCCCGGGCCGGCTCGGAGGGGGCGCCGGACCGCCCGCCAGTGAGAGCCGAGCACCAGCCCCCCTCACGGCCAGCGCTGTCCAGAGCGCCCCGAGGTCGCCACTGGCACAAAGAGGCCATTGCCGGGTGGCCGCGGGCGCCCTGCGGGGAGGCGCCTTCCCAGCACAGGCCTGCTCGTGGGCGCTGGGCTTCCCTCCCTCGCTGACCTCTTGGCAGAGTTCTGGAAGGAAGGGGGTGGGTGTGAGGGCGGCTGGAATGGGGAGGAGTCCGCGTTGCTGGCCCCCCAGATCCCCCAGATCCTTCCAGGGTCCACCGCTGAGCTAGTTGTCCGCGGCGGTGACCAAGAACATTTCCCTGCCACGCCCAACCCCCGTTCGTTGCTGTAGACACGCAGGGTGGGCAGAGATGGCCAGACACAGGCTGGGGTTGAAGACAAGGGCCGTGTTGGCTGAGGCTGCATGTAACGCTGCCTTGGGGCGCGCCAGCGCCTGGGCTGATGTGGAGTCCGCCCAGCTGGCTGCAGTTCTTCTTTGGAAGTGGGAGGTGCCCGCAGGCCCTCAGGCCCCCTCACCAGCTCCAGCTGAAGCCTGCTGCCCCCGCCCGTCATGTTAGGGGCAAGGCGAGGGGTTCCAGTGATGGGAGACGATGCCCCACAACTGCTCGTGTGGAAATGGGCTTATCTCCCAGGGAGTCGGGGCCACGGGACCCCTGCCAGTGTCTGGGCCGAAGTTTTGTTCCCTGTCCCCTCGGGTAAAGTGCTTTTAAGAGGCCCTGCTGTGCAGGAAACTTCAGTTATACCCCGTTGGCTTTCTGGATGACGCAAAAAGCCAGACTCCATACTCAAGCCGCTTTACTTAAAATGCTGAACAGGCTTCATCCAAGTGAACGTGAAGAAGACCCGTCGAGTGGCAGGCCCACAGATCAGCGGTGGGCCCAGTCTCACCTGGACACTGCTCGGTGTCCCCCAGCGAGTTCGGGAGGGTGGGGTCCTTGCAGAAGGTCCAGGTCCCTCGTAGCAGCAGGTAGCAGGCCGGGGCCGGTTCTCTGGACACTCAGTGGGGCAGATGGTCCAAGTTTCTGAACCAATGAGACAAAGCTGAGCACCACCCACGGGCACCTGCCCTCAGGCTCTGCAGCACAGACGTGACTTCAGGGTAACACCCTGGCAGAAGCTGGGGAGGGGGTGTGAAGGAGAAACCAGAGTCCATGTGGCACCAGCAGCCGTGACGGGGACACACGTGACATACAGCTTATTTGTGGAAATGCTACACACGACTCCAAGACCCAGAGCAGCGGGGCACACGCCCACCCCCAGACAGCTCCTCGCAGCACGTAACGAAGACGCCTGCTCCCTGCATGCGTCTCTGAAGTCCTAAACCCCAGGGAGGCTGGGCCTGCACGCCTGCAACGCACCCGCCCCTGCAGCTGTACTGCGGACCCCGTAGACGCCTTGTGTGGGTTCACAAGGGAGCCGCCCGCCAGGTTCAAGATCCAGTGACCACGCGAGTCCTGTCCTCCCACGGAGAGCCCTCCACCCAGCGCTGGCCGAGGCCCCGGCTTGCTCTCCGGGGGTGAAGACAGGGGTCCCGACCAGGACAGTGACGACGGGACACTGTCCACCAGGGCCCGGCGCCCAGATGCGGGTTGAGTGCTTGAAAGGTGAATAAATGACACCTGCCGGCGTGAATAATGCCCCTGTTCTCGCTGGCTCTCCCCTGAACATCGCCATGCTACTGAGTCTGGAGGCGAGCCTCTGGCGCCCATTTCTTCTGATGCCCTGCCCCGGGGCCCCCATACTTGCCTCGCCCAGCCTGCCCCCTGCTCTGTAGTGGCCACTCTAAGCCCCCTCTGCCAGGCACCAGCTATGGTCTCGGGAGAATGACCCCCAGTGAGTCTGATGTGGCCGCCCCCTCCCCACTGTGGCCGCCGGTCAGGAGTGGGGGCCCTCATGACTCCTTTCTCAAGGCTTCCCCACGTCGCCCCTGCTCTGCCTCCAGCACGGTGCGGCCCAGTGACTGTGTGAGGGGCTGGGCGTCTGCCCCGGCTACACCAAGCAAGGACAGTCACACTGGGCCGGCAGGTCATGGGCATCATCCTGAGGCTTCGAGGAGAGGGGACTTGGGGCTGGACCTCGTCTCTCTGGAGACTGTTCCCCACACAGGAGTCCCCCTGAGCGTGCGGGGAAGGTGCACTGGGTGGGGGATCTCAGGCGGCGCCTTGCCCCGTCCCACCACGCCCCCTGGCGGCGGACAGCCCCGCGGCGCAGGCCCTCGGCAGCTGCTGGCAGGTTTGAGGGGCAGGTGAGTGTGAGGGCCCCTAACGGGGAGACACAAAGGCTTTTAGAAGAAGGCAAGAAAGGAAAAAGGAGAGGGAGGAGGAACACCACTCAGACAGGAACCCCAACAGCTGCACCTCAGAGCTTGCCCCTCCTCACCCGCGGAGCTCTCCAGCCAGCCGCCCCCCACTGCAGGCACACGGCGCCCTGAGGAAGGCAGGGGGGCTGTTCTCCGCCCACCCGCACGCCTGCCTGTCGGCACCTTAGGAGGGGAGCAGAGTGGACTCGGACAACGCCGGGACCAGCCTCCTGGAGGAAAGCGGCTGGACCACGCCGGGCCAGCAGAGGCTCGCCTCTGTGCAACAGTGACGTTGCCAAAGGGGCGCTCGTTCTCGTTCCCCCGCCCCTTTCCAGGGGGAGTGAGGCAACAGCATATGCTCCCAGCGCGAGCCACACCGCTTCGCCCTCTGGGCCCCACCCGCTGGCTGCCCGCGCCCGTACTTACCTCACAACCCAGATCGTCCTCCACGAGCCCCTCTTATTTTTACTAATGTTTAGTTGAATTTAGGGACAGATGAAGGCAAGCAGGTAAATCAAGAGAGCAAGAGGTGGAACCTGCTAGTCAACCCCAAAGTCTTCACCCCGGGATGATCTAGAAGCCTCGCCAGCAACAAGAAACACCGTCTGAATGTACCTGATGGAGCACAAGCCACCGCCACAGCGAGACCCGTCACGTCTCTCACAGAGCAGGAGCGGCTCACTTAGGGGTCACGTGAAGGGGCGGAAGGGGACCACGTGTTACCATGTGGTCCCCGTTTATGATTTATGTTCTGTGACGAGAACCAGCAACACCTTGCCCACTGTCTATAAAGCTCCGGATGTGCCATCCCTCCCGAGACTACACCACACCAAACACCCCTGGCCTCCGGTCATGGAGAAAGGGGTGCTGGGCGGTGGGTGGTGCTGCTGGACTGGGCTGGATGAACAGTGACAGGCAGGAAGTGGCTCAGAGAGCTTCGCACCCCCAGGCCCACTCAACCTCTCTGCCGGCGCACAGGCAGCTCTGTGGACAGAAGCCACAGACACCCAGAGGTCCCAGCCTCACACATAGTCGATCGGCGTGGCTTTGCAGGAGACGGCCCAGAATCTTCTTAGCCACCGTCAGGCCGGCCTGCGGTGTTTCTGTTTCACCGTGTTAACTTCCTGACGATCTAGTCTTAGTAAGCAGCACACACAGCATTTGACCGAAGGTAGAAGCTTGGACCAAGAAGGTCTGTCCCAATTCAGAGAAGACCAAGGGAGAAGCAGACGTGAAAGGGAGCCACCGCGGGGGTCTACGCTCGCTCAGGGGTGAGCCCAGCCTCCGCACGTGTCCCTAATCCTGCCAAGACAGTACGGCTGCCTGCAACCGACGTGCGGCGCACGGCAGAGCCAGGCCCCAGGCCACGGCAGAGCTCTCGCCACCCGTTCTCCCTGCAGGTGGCCAGGCCACACGTCGCGGGCAGACATATGCTTCTAATGACAGAAACAACTCAAGAGGCCACGAGAGAAATGTCAGCGTGGCTGGGAAAGGACAGCTCGGCTGAGACACGCACGTTCTGGTCTGACACATGCCGCAGAGACGCGTGCCCGCCCCGGGGAACTCCTGGTCCACAGAGACGAGGCTCGGACGGGGGACACGTGGCTCCTGAACTTGTGCCCGTGAAGAAAGCAGCTGCTCGGACTCGGGGAACCTGGGCAGGAACGTCGCCTGCGGTGGTCAGGGCTTGAGACCCTTAGGGCCCTGCCCCCAGCGCTCACTCTCCCGCCTGCGCTGCCAGAGACCCTGGCCACACAGGGACTGGCGCCCCCGAGGGCGGGTGTCCTAGGTGGTCACCTTAGGGACGCGTAGGCTTTAACTTAACCAGCGGAATCACCGCTTCCCCCAAGACCACAGGGGCGGGTCCTGAATTCTCAAAGGAAAACACTCCAAGGCTGTAAAATGGGCTCACATTTTATTAAATAACGTAAAGGGATTCCTTGGCACCTTCCACAGAGATTCCTGCTTTGACGCGTCACACAAGCCCCACTCCTCAGCGGCGGGAGCAGAGCGAAAGCCACCGCAGCCAAAGCTAAGAGAAGGGACTCGCGACCGGCCACCCTGGCCTCTGGCTCTGCCGTGCCCTCCCCAGGTGTGCAGGGGCCGGCGGGCCGCCCTCTGGGGACGTCCTTCCACACAGGCCACAGCGCGCAGGGTCACCTGGAGGAGCTGCGCTCTTTGCTGACACAGTCGTCCTGGGAGGTGGTGTCGCCGTTGCCCATCATGCCACACGTGCGCCTCTTCTTCCTGCGGTGCGTCGTGCCGTCCCCCTCGGACCCGGACTCGCACTGGACGCGGAGGGAAAAAACAGGATTTGACTCAAAGCCACCGCTTCCCTCGCCACGCAGCCCTCAGGAGACGACGCTTGCCATCTGCCTTCCCCCAGGATGACGCCAGCTTGAGTGCCAGGCAGCGCCACATGCCCGAGACGCCCGGCCTCCCTCGGGGCTCTGTCACGACAACCCCTCTCGGGTCACCTCGCAGCCCACGCTCGGTGGGGATGGGCGCTCTGCTGCACTAAGGCGAGCCTGACCTGGGACTTGTGTTGCGTGACGCTCTCCACGCCCCCAGCGAAGCCCGACTCCCCAGATCCCATGAAGTTCCAGGCAGAAGTCTCATCTCCTGCGAGCATGGGCCTCTCACCCTCTCACCCAACGCTACTTCAGCTTTAGCAAGTCACTGAAGTTCTAGCTGAGTTTCCAGGAAACGCTGAACCCAGACGCTAAGCCTGAAGCTGCCGCCGCTGTCGGCTAGCTGCGACCCTGCTCCACCTGACAACCGCCCCGGACACCGCCTCCTCCTCTGGAGATCACGTAACGACTCACAAACAAAAAGCACACAACGGGCAAAATTCACCCCCAGCAGCAGAGGCGGCTGCTGTTGTTCTCGAAAGTCCAAGTGCATCTGTCTCTCTCCTCCTGGATAGGAAGCGGGGAAGCCCCTTCTGTTCTTATGGGGTGACGCGGCCTGGCGAGCCCAAGGGGCCTCACCTCTGAGTCCGAGTCGGAGGAGCTGGAGCTGGAGGAACTGGAGGAGTCGCTGGAGCTGTCGGACGCGATCCCCGTGGACTCCTGCAGGTCCACGGAGTCGGCCAGGACGGCCAACTCAGGGTGCTCTTGCTTCAAGATCCTGAGAAACAAGAAAGGTGGCTTGCAGCGCCGGGAAAGGCCACGGCATCCACCACAACACCCCAGACGCAAAGCTGACATCGGCCTGAGTAGTGCGAGGAATGCCGGGCGCCCCAGTTCGGAACGGGTGCTGGAGAGAGGTGAGGCCGGGCGCGTGCACAGGCCGGGAGCCGGAGCCCGACATGCGCGGGCGTCTCTGAAAGGAAAACCAGCTCCCGGTTCACTGACGCCTGCGTGACAGCCCCTTGCGCCGCCGCCGGTGAGGCCACGTTTCCTCGCCTGAGTCTTAGTCTCGTCCCCTGGGAGATGGGGTCCCGCTTCCTTGCCTTGCCCTGAGTCTCCTCTAGCTGATTATTTTCTAGCCTGTTCTTTCCACGGCGCAGCACTTAATGAGCAGAGCTGGGCTTGCTTCAATCCCATTGGTAAGAGGAGAAATAATCAGGCTTGTGCGGAGTGAGAGAGTCAAGTCGCGAGAGGGTTCCCCTCTCTGAGAAGCTAAAACTGAAGTGGACTTTCAGGGGCTGGAGCCCCAAGGAACCTGATCTGGTGTCCTGTGTAACCAGGGACAAAAGACCTGCTGCGGGGCGAGGACTTTGTGGCGACCAAACACAGCACGCAGCAGCCTACGGGATGGGGTGAGCTGGCCTCAGGTGCCCCGGGCATCCGGGAGAATGCAGCCACCACCCTTGCCGGCCCTCTCAGCAGGGAGGCTGAGCACTGAGCAAGCCGGAGTCCCTCTCTTACCCCGACAGCTGGTCCCTCCAGGTCAGGGTTGGGCTACAGTGGCACGGGGTGGCTGGGGGTGGCGTGCACTGCCGCTGCCCGTGCTGTATCTGTTCTGTGGATAAACAGAGGAGCTAAGTCTCCAGGGCAGTGACCTCACTCCCAAGAACTGAAGGTATTAAGTCCAAAAGGGAATAACGCTTCGGGGTGAGAAAAAGAAACGACCAAAATAAAACCCAAATCAAACGGCCTCTTCAGCTGGTGTTAGCTTTGGGAAAAATCAAAACAACAAAAGACAAACGGAAACGAGAAACGATCCCAAGGACGACGTGTTGTGACTGACTCGCTCCGAGCAAACATGCAGACTCTACCCTGTCACCTGGAGGCTGGCGGGCGCCCTGAGACCTAGCCCTGACCTCGGGCCCACTCTCCTGCGCCCTGAGGTCCGCAGCCCCAGCTCTGCCCAGACAGTTTTACGGCCGCGGGGCCTTCCGCTTCCTCTCTGGGGTGGAAATTGAAAGAAAGCAAATAATAGGAAAAAGAAAGTCTCTCACCTATACCATTTCCTCGATAACTTTGGTCTCCCTCTTACCGTCTTGTGCCACACAACCGGGAAGTTGGTGCTGCTGGCAAAATTTTGGGTGATGGCGATGGTGGTGTCAAGGTTGAGGACGACGTGCCACCAGCCTCCTGCAACCCAACGAACAGCAGACGGGTTAGGGCCCACGCGGCTGCCGTGCGCGTAGGCCTCAGAGGTGGGGGCGCCGAGCCACTAAGGAGAGCCCGAGAGACGCAGAGCCCGGAGAGGGGACCCCGCTCATTCATGGATGGGACCATAGGCAGCCGTTCTCCTGCCCTGGACAGAGGCGGGCCGCTGCAAGAGACTACCCGGTTGCGGGAGACCGCCGGGCTGTGGCGGGGGCAGTGTTTACTCTCTCCGTGTAAGTTTGTGGAGCCGTTAACCCAAAGCTGCGCGCACAACTGCAAAGGCAGCAAGTTCCTTAGCTCCTAGGAGGAGGACACCTACCCCAACACACCCTTACTCCCAACACGTGACCCAGCCCAGCACAGTGCAGTTCTCAGGCGGGGGTTTCCTGCCTCTTGCCTGCAAGTCACTTTGCTGACTCGGCCCAGTCAGTGCCCCCCGAACCAAAACCCAGCTCGCTGACCAGGCCAGAGCCCCTGCCCACATGGACCCGGCGCTGCCTCCGTGTGGCTGAGCTTCAGAGGAACACGCTCACGGGCCACAAGAAATGTGGCGAGCGGCTCCCTAAGCACCTGCCGACTCAGCGACGCTGTTGCCACCAGAGGCGGGCCCCGGTCAGTGCGGTCAGCATGCCAGGGGCTTCTCTGACTCGTTCTCTACATCCTTCTGCTCCAAAATGACACATCACGCGAGTGAAAGAATTTACTTCCTTCCCGTTCATCTGTACCTGGCACAAACACAGTCTCTCCTGGCTTTTGCAAGATTTCCAGGGGCTTGAATTCCGGCGGCCAGGTTGGAAGCTGTGTCCGTGGATGGATGATGTTAAACCAGGTAATGGCTTCGTCTTGCTGGTTCCCTCCTTCTTCACGGGTCACCTTGATGAGCTCCCTGGGCGTGTTGGTTGGGAACAGGCACCAGCGCTTGTGGCCCTGAACTAAGGCGTTCCAGGCGCTGGTTCCCAGAGGATCGATGTGGATTCCGGTTCCAGAGCGTGGCGGCCCCATCACAAACCACCTAAAGGATGGAGACATCCAAGATGTGAAGGAAGATTTAATAACACACACACATCACAGGGGTGCGCGTTTTCAGTTTATACAACAGACGATGCTATTTTTATTCCAGATACATCACGGGCCCTGGTCTGCAGAGACAACGAATTGCACACGGACTGGCCCTGACAGGGAAGAGCAATCACTCAGTGGCTTGCTGCTGGGCTTCCTACACTCTTCTTACAGGCCAGCAGTTCAACCTCGGTCACTGTTTGAACCATCTGGGGAGCTTTCAGAAATCCGGATACCTAGACGGCACCCCGGCCAGTGGGAACTGTGTGGCAGCGGGACCCCGGCAGGCATCAACAGCCCCCCCAAGTGAGTTCCAAGTACAGTCAAGGGCAAATCCCTCTGGTTTGTTAGCTGTTTTGGGAAGAGGTTAGGTGGCTCCGGGGCATACACCGCTGTAGAACAGACTGGAACAGCTTCCCTGCCCGGCACTTTACCTGTACGGGGGTCTGCGCTTCTCCCCAGCATACTGGAAAAGGTCGTCGGTGAAAAACTTGGGCACCTTGTAGTCTTCCAGAAGTTTCCTTCTCTTGGGGTGTTCGCCGTAGCTGCTGTCGAAGATGTAAAGGGGGCTGTCATCCCGAGTGCTCTCCATGTACTCGATGTAGTATTTCATCTTCATCTTCACGGAGTAGCCGTCGTTATCCTCGCCACACTTGAACTTCTGGTTCCGGTACTTCCTTTTCAGGCGCTCCAGAGTCCACTTCTCCTGCGCGGACCAGCCCTCCTGGGCGTTCAGCAGGACCACGGGCTTGTACGGTCTTTCGTAGCGCTCCACAAATTCCTCCACGGAGAGCTGCAACGCGTCCGCCCTCTCCACGTTATCCTGAAGGAGTCAGGAGAGAGGAACCCGGTTTAAGACAAGCCAAGGAAACCCCAGCAGGCGGATGAGGTGTCCCGGGGGGGGGGAGCAGGAGCCCCACGCGGGCGGGCGGGCACGCGGCACCCAGCGCCCCCGCCGGGGCCGGGGCTTCGCGGGTCCCACCCGTGGCCCTGACAGCCGGGCCCGAGGCCGGCGCCTGCGGTTGTCCGGCCGGGCGGCGGCCGCGCCTCCGGAGGGAGGGGCCCGCCCGGAACCCGGGCCCCGAGGCCCCCGCCGGGCGCGGGCGAGCCCCGGGAGAAGCCGCCCCGCCCGCCCGCCCGGCCCGCCCGCCCGGCCCGCTCACCGCCACGGCCGCCCGCCCGGCCCGCTCACCGCCACGGCCGCGGGGCTCAGCGAGAAGCTCTCGTAGTAATTGTGCCGCGTCCAGTCCAGCGAGTCCTTCAGCTCCGGCCGCGCGCTGCGCTTGGCCTCGCGGATCCGCTTCTTGCTCTTGTGGTTCATCCTGCGCGTCCCGCCGGCCCGCGGCGACCCCGGCGCGCCCGACCCCCCGGCGGCCGCGGCCCCGAAACGCCCCGCGCGCTGGCCCGGCGCCTTTAAAGGCGCCTTCCAGAAGCTTCACTCCCAACCTCCGCCCGAGCCTCGGGTTGGACGCGCCACGTCCGCCCGCCCCGCCCCCGGCCGCCGCGGCCGGCCATTGGCCTCGGAGCCGCCGGGCCCGCCCGCGCACGCGCCGGGCCGCCGCCATCTTGGGAAGGTCGGGCCCCGGCGGCCGCCTCGCGCGACCCCGCCCCGTCCGCTTCCGGCACGTCACTTCCGGCGGCGCCCTCTCCCGCGGCCAGTTTCCGGCAGGCGGCGGCCCGGCGTGGCTGGTGGGGCCGTCGGGGCTGGGGGCCGAGCGCGCCCGGGCTGTGCTGCCTCTTCCTCCGGGCCGCAGGGGCCCGACGCGGCGGGGAGCGCCCCCGGCAGCCCGGGGCTCCGGCGCGCGCAGCCTGGCAGCCCGGCCCCCTCCGCTGCGCGCGGCCGACTCGGCCGCCGGGCCCCCTCCGGGCGAACACGGCCTCCGAGGGCAAGCGGCCCGGGCCCGGGGTTTCGGTTTTCGGGGGAGCCGGGCCTGGGGGATCAGGGGGCCGAGCTGGAGGTCCGCGTCCCGCAGGTGCGTGCGGCGGCAGTCCCGGGGGCGCCTCCCGCGGGGTGGGGTCTCGGTCGACCCGGGGCGGGGGTGGGGGGACGGCCGGGGTGAGGATGAGCGGGACCGCGCGCAGCGTCCTCCCGTAGCACGACCACGGAGTGAAGAGGTCGGGTGTGATGCCTTCGGCAGACTGAATAAATGTTACAGCAAGATGTTCAGGGATTCCAACAGGAGAGGGCCTTCACACCGGTCTGTCCTGCCAGAGTGACACCCGGGACATCTGGTAGATTCTTTGCTCTAGAAGGGCTACTTCCTTCACCTTTGTTTGGGATCAGGGGTTCCAGTCAGCGCTCAAATAAAGCTTTTTGGTTTGCCGCTTCCTATGAGCTCACGGCTGCTCCAAAAAATTGAGTTTTGTTGTGTATACGCTGGGTTCCTTGAGCTGCTTTCATGTTGCAGTATCTCATTTGTTTTTAACCCGATTAACAACCCCCTTGGTTGTGAGTAGGCATTAGTAGTGGTTTAAAAATGAAAAACAGCTTCAGAGGACTTACAAGCTGGAGTGCAACCCATTTGATAGCTTCTCAGCGCCTTCGCCTTGAAATGACATGCGTGTCTTCCTGAATTTAAAGGGTGAGGGTGGGCCCTGTGAGCATAGAGGCTCCTTTACAGCCCAGTTTGCATAATTCAAACTCGTCTGAAATCCTTCATTGTACTCCTGCGTAAAACCCACCAGTGGGGACGTTTTTTTGATCCCTCATTCACCCCCACCGGCACTTAGAAGGGTACCTAGCTTTTATTTCAGTCACCAATATTTTTGTTGAGTTACCTGAACGAACTTCAGTTCCTTCACCTTTAATACCTGCACCTCTACAGCCCTCTTTTCTACCACACCTCACTCACTAGGGGCACCTTTTGCTCTAGAAAACAAGTATTCGGTCATTTTACAGTTTGCTAATAACTAGCTTTGTATGCTTACTGTGCGCCTGGCACTGTGTGAGTAGTTCCCATTAAAATTCCTCTTTCTACTGTGCAGTTGAGGAAACAAGCACAGAAGATTCAGTAACTCCAGGGCATACAATTGGTAAATGACAGATGGAGTTTGAATTCAGGCCCATTCATTTGAGGGTTAGGAGATGTTACCTTGCTGCTTTAAATACTATGCTCACTTAAAATTCTGTGCATTTCCAAAGTACTGGGGCTTCCCAACTCCAGTATTCAGCTCCACTCAAACCTTTTTTGGAAGGTCTTCCTGGGACCATGCTGTTTCTAATTAGCACACTTAAGTTGTGCCTGTGCTTTCATTAAAATCTTGCAATATCTTAACTGCACTGAACTGTGGCCTGCAAGACCCCAAAGACCTGGTTCCGGCAGGGCTCTGTGGCCCAGCCAGAGATTTTAGTTCTAACTTCAGTACCCCCGCCCCTGCCGTTCTCTCCTTATCTAGACCAGCCACCTGTGGCCTAGGCCCTCCTACCCTCATTACTCTCGTCACCAACAGAAAATAATGGCTGTTGCCTCTCTCCTTAGTAGCTATAGCCTCAGCCTGCAGTATATGCCCCCTAACTACTCAAACCCTGGGAAAAGGCTCGTGGGGTCTATGAAGTGTTTATCACATGGTATTGCAACTTTTATTACCCATCCATTGTGGGAGCTGTCATTTCTGTAACAGCGGTGCTGAGTAATCCCCATGTATTTCCAGCATGAGTGGTGACATGCCAAAAAATTCTTTTCAGGTTCTGCATCTCCAATATGGAATGTACATTTGG